TTTTTTTTTTTTTTTTAACATCAGTTATTTTATTTAAAAAACCTAATCTTGCACACTGGGATGATAAGGAAAATGTACCCTTTTCTAACACTTTGAGAAAGAGACTAATGAGGGGAGCGCCATCATCCCTCAAGAGCCGTCACTGCTCCTCTCTGTATGCTGGACATTATATTGGGGACTGTAGTTATTCAATTGTAGAACTTATGCGCAATGAATTTAACTGGATCCCAGAGTGGCGGGGGTCATCTGGCAGCACTTCACCACAAAAGCAAGATCCACACACTTAACATAAAGGACAGCAAAGCAAAGACTTGAAAAGCCAAACACACACAGACCTAGGGCGTCAGCTGATTAGAGACGTGCTGGGATAAGGAGTTAAAATAGAGATGTGCGGAATGACCTGCAGGGCATGTGGGATGAGGAATAGAAAAACAGAACTGCAACAGCAGAGGGAGTAGCCAGGAACACCTAAAATTTCTCAAGGTCATCCTGTTTTTGTGTCCTTGCTCCCAGATGCCTAGCAGGTTCTCAAGATCTTAGGCACACATGATAAGAGCTTGTTTTGTGAACCAAAACTAAAGGCTAAGACTCAATATACATAAAAATAAAGACCAAAGGTGGTGCAGCACTTTTTTGCGCGAGCCCTCGCTTTGCTTGCATGGAGTGTCTATGTGTCTTTGTTTGCAGCCAGCGCCCGTGAGCTTTTCCCAGCAGTGATGGTGTTCTCCACAGTAAAACAGACAGGAAGCCTACTAAATTTTTACTAAATTCATATTATCAAAAAAATTTAAGGGGAAATGAACAGAAACCACTTCAATTCATAGTGACAAAGAATCATCAACCAGTGCCCAAATTTCAGCCAGTTTACGGACCCAGGACCCCTTGAGGTTCTGACTGAATAAAGTTTGGGAAGCCAGATCCTCTTAAGGAAAGACCCTAGGATACTGCAAAAGTTTTACAGCCATTTTCTTCCCATCCTTCCTGAAGAGACTCAAGCCTCTTACCAGGGTAATTGCACATTAAGGGAAGGAAAACAAGCAAACATTTCAGAGACTCCAGGACACTGGTTCCAAATGAACACTGATTCTCGGGGATCCAAAACATCATGATGGCACTCCAGTAAGAGTAGGGAGGGGTGCACACATTTTCTGCTTTATTTTAAAAGGTAGTATAAGAAATGAGGAAAAACAGGTAATAGCAGGGCTTCTGCTCTTTTTTTTTTTTTTTTTTTTTTTGTCTTTTATTTTCTAAAATGTTTCTAACTGAAAAGTATTTTCCAGCAGTCCAAAGATCTAAGTTATCTTACACATAAGATGTTTTATTTTGTTGTTTGGTTATGGAAATGGAATCTTTGTTCTTGCACAACTGTAACTGTTTTGTTGCTAGATAATAGGACTTGCACCTAAATTGGTCTCTGGTTTCCAGTGCATCACGGCATATTTTGTGAAATCATCTTCTGGGCATGAATGGGGAACAGACAAGCTCACAACCTGGAGTGGTATGTAAATACATATACATATATATATATATATATATACATAAAATATATACATAAAACCAAAATAGTTGGAGGAATTATTTGAAATGACTAACTTGTGCTATCTTTATGAAATATGTTAAATGTAGCTTTTGAAACAGAAGCCTTGAATTGAAATTTAACTAATACTTGAACATTTTTGTATCTGTTTCTTTGTACATAATTTTGTGCAGTACCAACAACAAAAATATGGTGTCATAATAAAACTGGGTTTGATGATCTTTCAGTTATAGGCTCAAATAATTTATTCATCTCTAACATGACAATGGGAAATAGAGTTACCGTTGTTAATGCTGACTATGGGTCTTAAAAAGGGCTGGAAGCAGTAAGTCTAAAACTTTTATCATACCCTGAGGATATTTTTCTCCTAGTAGCAACACTTTTCATGCATTATTTAAATTTCAGGGCTAAGGAGAAACAGTAGTCAAAGCTTTCTGAATTGGGATGTTTTGAAATTCCAAGCATAGATTTTTAGAATGCTATTTATAAATGGCAATTTGGGGAAACAGATGATTAACTGTCTTCTCTCAGTTTCCATTTCATGATTTCTTTTCTAGTTCTGGTGACTTAATGATTTTGTCATTTTTTTTTTTACATCAACTCATGCTCTTGTTTCTACATGGTAATTGCATGTATTTAGGATGTATCAGGGGCTAATCTGCTCAGATTTATGTGTAAGCACATTTTACTGTAAATGTTGGTTTCTGAATTTACAACAGATTTTATTTCAGTATGTAGTAAACAGAGTCTTAAAGTGTCCAACTCACTACTTGTTAAAAAGTTATGATTAATATGAAAAAAAAAAAAAAAGAGTAGGGCACATGGAGTCAGGTGATTGATGGAGTTTTAGCAAAGGTCCAATTCAGTGGGTCTGGTAATATAGGTCCTCAAATCCATCCTGTAGTCATTTCTCTGGTTCCAAACGTCATAATCGGGATAAACACATTTAGTACTTGACAGAAGTCTCACACAGGTTCCTTAACCTGTAGCATGGGAGCCATTGTAGTTGGTAAGGCCAACTGGAAACACTTAGCTGTCTTACCTGATTAAAGAGTAAACCAAATACAGTATAGTACCCCTGGAGGGACTGCAGAGACTAGTACCGCTCTTGAAGACCTGAGGGATGCAGTGGTGGTTCCCACCACATCTCCACTTAATGCTCCCATTTGGCCTGTGCAGAAGAGAGATGGATCTTGGAGAATGATTATCATAAACTGAATCAGGTGATGACTCTAACCGCAGCTGTGGCACCAGGTGTGGTTTCCTTGCTTTCCTTTCTGATTGGAGTTCCTCCCTTGGAGGGTTTCAGGTTTGGGAGAAACCTACTGTACCTACTACTCCAATCAGTAGTAGGTACAGTACTACTTTGGTTTATGAACACTTTTGATTTCCAAACATTTGGCAAATTCTTTTTGTTTGCAAACTCTACATCGGGTGACAAAATCACAACTATCTTTCCCATACAAACATAAACATGGCCATCTTTTCCAAAATAGCAGAACAAATTAAGTTCATGAACTGAGGTATCACTGTACTTCATTTTTTATCATTGTACTTTATGTACAGCTATTGACTTGACAAATGCCTTCTTCTCCATACTTATCCAGAAGGTCCATCAGAAGTAATTTGCCTTCAGTTGGCAAAGCCAGAAATACGCCTCCACTGTCCTTCCTCTGGGTATTAACTCTCTAGTCCTGTGTCAAAACTTAGTTTGTAGCAATCCTGATCACCTTTCTCTTTCATGAAGTATCACACTGGTTCATTACATTGATATCATGCCAATTGGATCAAGTGAGCAGGAGATAGCAACTATTCTGGACTTACTGATAAAGCGTTTATTAGCTCAAGTCAACAACTTTTGACATTTGTCAGTCCTGTGGATAACCCACTATTATGGACTACTGGATTATATTGGATTATTTTGCTGAATTCATGCACCTACAATATTTAAATGGCAATGGAATACCCATCTGTGACAAAACTAAACAAAAAAGGGGGATATAAATGAAGGACCATTTTGTATTTGTATATACAAAATAGTTAGGATAGATATACAGCTACTTTTTCTTAATTCAATGAGAAGAAAGATTTATACTAATAGTGTTTGCCAGGATATCATGTCTGCATCTTGTACTATGAATAACCACTATGAAGACAACAATATGCAATGTACTAATTATTGTAACTGTCCTACTAACCTGTTTTGAAACTGTCTCATTGCTATTTCTCAATAAAATTAATTTTAAAAATAGCAGAAAAATAGAAAAACAAACAAACATAAGAAATTCCCAGACTAGCATAGTTCTGGGTCTGGCTAAATGGATTTACTAAAAACAGGAGACTCCCCCTGGGGAAAGAAGGTTGGCTGGCTTCCCTTTCTCTGAGGAGCTCCAGTCTTCACCTTTGCCTTAGGCAACTCCCATCACAGACTCCGGGCCCTCTGGTGCAGACCTGCAGCTTCAGCTTCAGGTACCAAGTTGCACAGGACTCCACAGTGCACTGCAGGCCTTCGACTTCTGACTGGATCCGTCAGATGTCCAGTGCACAGACAATCCTTCTGCACTTCTCCACACCTGATTCTGCAGGTGGGCACCGGAAGTCTACCTTGTAAATCCATGTGTGTATGTGTATGTGAGTGTGTGTGTGTGTTAATTAAATCTCTGAAGTGAACAATGAAGGATACAAACATCAAGTTTAAAGTAAAAGGCCATAAACTACTTACCACTCCATCGGAGTAAACCTGAGTCACGTGATTGTAATTGGCCCTCACAAATTCAGAAGCAAAGGCACACTCGTCGTCGTCAGGGCAATCCTCCAGCAAGGGATAATCTCCCATAGAGAAACCTCCCTTGGTAAAATTGGCCATGGTCCACAATCCTAAGGAAACAACATATACCCAAATCAGTAATTAATTCCTCAAAGATGCCACATGCAGCAGTCTTTTATGCTTTTATGTTATATGGGAAAAACCTGAAACCCTCCAAGGGAGGAACTCCAATCAGAACCCTGAGCTCTGCAAGATTCTTGTCTCCAACCTGCTTTATCCTTCCTCTAAAAACTTTAATCTATCTTCATTTCCTTAGGTACATACATTCGCTATGTCTACTCTGAATATACTTGTGTACAGGCTTTAAGTAGAGAATAATTATGAGCATCCTATTTATTCTTTAAATACCTAAAGTGCTGCTGAATATAAAGATACTTTCCCACTGGTGTACTTAGCTACCTACCTACTTTTACTGTATCTCATAAAGAACACCACTTCATTTGTACATAAACTCCAAGATCCTCAATCTCCTGACCTGAATTAATTCTTATGCCACGGAGAAAATACTCCTAAGTTCCTAGCAACTCTCAGTGAGTCTACCCTGGGTGAGGGAGCAGGGCCACAGTGACCCAGGCTGAGTCCATCACTCTCTATTCCCCACAGCCACATCCAGACTTGCCATTCTCCTAAGCACCCCTACTTCCAGCACTCTCCCAACTACCACAAAACACCACTGCTAACCTACAAGAGGGAAAATTCTCCTGTTATCAAGGGATATATTTTAAAAATATTTGACAAGGGAAACTAAGGCTAGAGTTTCAGACTCAGATTTTTTTTCCCCTGAAGAAAGCTCAACAATACGAAATTCTATAGCTATCAGAGAAGAGGAACACTAAACAGCACTGAAGAGTGGAGCTTTCTATTATTTCTGGCTCTTGTCCAAGTAATAGCTTTCTTTTCCGATCATTACCAGCACCGTCATCACATTTCTCATAGTTAGAACCAAGTTTTTTTTCTAAGAAAGCCCACCATAGACCATGAAACATAAATTTCTTTCTTTAATCAATCCTTACATCAAATTTAAAGTATGAAAACCTCACACCAGAAGTAAAGGATAATAAGCCTCCTAAGGAAGTCTGTACCACGTGTCACAAGCTGCACCAGGTATCACCGCACAAGCCCTCGGCAATTCTCGGCAGACCCACTTACCACCCCTTCCATCCTACAGATGGGAAAACAATCTGCAAAACCTTGATGTGCTCAAGGTCACCATGCTAGGAAAGAGTCAAACCCAGTCCTTTGATTCTTGCGTCTCTTCTCTCCAACAGTACATTTTACTACTTTTCCTTGTCACTGCCACCTATTGTTCTTTTTAAGAATATTGACACAACATTCCTTTCTGCTTTCCAAATTCCACAATATCCTAGCTACGTCAAGCTCTATGCAATAGATACCCCAGTGTTCTTCTTCCACTGACACCAACATCAGCGCTCCTCCTCCAAGGATCCCCTCATCAGAGGCCTCGGGCCACTGGACAGCAGTAACCCAGTTCTCAATTTCTCCACTCAGATGAACTCTTTTCTGCCTACGCCCAGACTTATTACAGATCACACCTCCCTGTCTCCTTCCATCCGTATTTTTAAAAGTCAACAAGAACTCTTTTTTCTTTCTCTCCTCACTGCAACTCTCCATTCACTGTCAGTTTTCTATAATTTGGTTTTCATTTCTGCTATTCAAAGGAAACTATTTTCAATAAGGACATAATGACTATCTATAATAAATTAGCTATAATGTCTGGAGGTTGACCTGCTCTGCATGAACAGTTTAATGGAGTTTAAAGACTTTAACTCTGAAAATGAATAGCCCACTGAGCGTGGTGGTGCACACCTATAATCCAAGCAATGTGGAGGCTGAGGCAGAAGGATCACCTTAATTTCAAGGCCAGTCTGGACTATACAGTGAGTTCATGACCAGCCTGGAATTCACAGCAAGATTCCATCTCAAAAAGTGACTTGCCAGAAAAAATAAAACAATGTAGCAATATGCCAAAATAAGGCATATGATATGTTACATTGGAAAATATATACTTTTAAATTTCATTTTTCTTATAATCTTTTTTTGTATATAATACAAAAAGAGAGCCAAGAACTGTCATGGCCCACATACCACTCACACCCATCCTGGCACTGATTATAGTACCACTGGCAGACAGCTGGTCATTCAGCCCTGAAGATCCCATGATACCACATGTAGCATCAAACTGTACTGTAACGACAACAATGGTGTAGCTGTTGTTTGTTTTGAGACAGGGTCTTGCTATGTAGTGCAGGCTGGCCTTGAATTTGCTCATGTAGCCCAGGCTGACCTCGAACTCATGGTGATCTTCCTGCCTCTCACGCACCACCACACTCAGCTAACACTTGTGTAATTTGAAACCTTTTTCTATTCCTTTCAATGAGAGAGGAAATGTGGTAAAATGGTTGAGAGCATGGAATGGCCTGGGGTTGAATCCTGACTCTTCCCCTTCCTGGTTGTGTGATCTTGGGTGAATTACTTAAATTGTTTGTGCTTCAGCTTTCTCATATATTAGGTGGAGATAACAATATTACCTACCTTATTAATCAGTTAATACATGTAATGTGCTTGGAAGCCTACAGCGCATAAATGATATAAATACCAGGTATCATTAATATTAGATGAATGATATTTAAAAACCTACTATTTAAGAAGCTTTGGGCTAAATGGTCTGCCTTAATAATAAATCCAAAAAGCACTTTTCAGCTCATAACTTACGTGGTGCTGAGACCCACTTCCTCCACCACAGAACTCTTCGTATGGACTCCAAGGCCATCTTCCGAGTCTCCTCCTACTGCTCTGGCTGCTCTCCCCGGCTGCTTCATGGACTCCTCTCCTCTCCTCGCCTCCCCCATGTCAGCTCCCTAATCTTCTCACTCTCACTGTCCTTGGGTGACAATTTCCACCATACCCACAACTTCAAACAGTACTTTCTGTACTTTTATTATTTGTACAGCTTTGCCATGATTTTTCCCATTTCCATAAGTCACATATTTTTTATTTAATATTTTCCTTTCATTGCCCTTGAGGTATGTGATAATGTCCATGCTATAAATTTGATATACAAGTTGTTTTTCATATATACCTTTGAGTACATTTCTATTAAAAATTTCAAGAGCTTATCTAGGTACCACTTAAAATGATCCCACATGATACTGCAGAAGTCAATGGTTTCCAAACTTCCAAACCTGAAACGCTCATGGCTCTCCAGGCAGGAATCCATCTCTTACCTTCTAGGCCTTCCCTGCCAATTGCTACTGTACCTTAACCAAGATGTCCTGCAAGCCCCTCCAGTTCAACAAATTAAAAAGCAAACTTAACTTTTCCCTCAAAAAAAAAAAAAAAAAAAAAAATCTAGTTCTTTCCCCTTTCTGTATGTTATCATTTAATAGCTCCACATGCCACATGGTTACCCAAAAGAAAAATCCGAGGCTCAACATAGACTCCCCAGTCTCCTTTAATATTTCTGGTCAACTGACCACTACGTAATGTTATCTCCACTCCCTAAAGAAATCTAAATTGAGCACACATAAAACCTCTTCTTGCCACTGCCACTCACTGCCTTAGCTACACCTTTATCTTTTCTCCTGAACTAACAAAACAACCAATCTCGTAACTCAGAGCTTGCTTTAAATCCTGGCATCTTTTAAAATTCTGATAGCATTTTGCGACTTAAAATCCTTCCTTATCTCTCCTTGTCAGGAAAAAGTCCAACCTTCCTACTACGGCAAAAACAGTCTTGTGTGACCCTATTCATTTTCCTATCTCCAGTCAGACCCGATTGTTTGTCATTCCTACACAAGCCTTATTCTGTAATCCTCTAATGCCTATCAGTACTTGGTACTCAAGTCTGGGAACCATTTCTTGATCATCCTACGACACCAAGTTTACTTTTGTACCTCTTCTCTGTAAGTCTAGAGCACCATGTCCACATCTGACTGCAATTTTCACACTGTTTGATAATCACAGATGTAATCTACTTACTGCCCGTACTGTTATTTAACTTAAAATTTTCCTTTAGAAAAATCCAATGTTTAATGAAACGTAAATGCTTATAGAAAACTTGCTATCACTAAGAAATTTTCATTTGAGGTGACAGATTTTTTTAATATAAGCTGAAATAAATATATTGCTAAAGTTAAATATTAAGATTTCTTGATCTTCCCATGACACCAAGTTTACTTTTGTACCTCTTCTCTGTAAGTAGAAAAGTAAAATTATAATAAAAAGTAAAATTATAATAAAAAGCACTTCTGATCCCTTCATACAGTTAGATATTAAAAGAATCTACCCATTTAAAAAAAGGTTAAGTTTCAAAACATATTTCTGATGTTCTTCTGAGCTCACAGAAACAGAAGGCACTTAACCACCACTCTTTCCATGCAAAAGCAATAACAAACCTCGTGCCAGGGAGTAAACCTGGAGTCAAGAGCTCCAAGCAGTGGCACCAGGAGAAGCAGCAGCAGCAGGACAGTGAACCCTGGACCAGACACAAACTGCAGGAACTGTAAAGGGAGCCCAGTTAAACTCCCTGGTTCCTGCCCCCAGCCAAAGATGGTCCTGGGGTGTCCAGAAGGAAAGCACCCTCTCTCAAGAGTCCTACAAGTAGGCGTTCATTACCTGTGATAGCCACACACACACACAACAAGTGCTACTTCCATGTGAAAGACAACAGGGGAGGGCTGGTGAGATGGCTCAGTGGTCTAAAGCGCCTACTTAGAACAAGCTAAGCTAAGCAAAGCACAGGGACCGTGGTTCAATCCCCCAGCACCACATGCCAGCCAGCCCCGCCCCCTGGTGGGCTGAGCTGGCCACACACACACACACACACACACACACACATAAAAAAATAAATAAAATTAAAAAAAAAAAAGACAACGGGAGTTAAAAAATAAAAAGGACTAAATGTAGGTCCCCTAAGGACTGGAGATTGCCTGATACAGTCCACAGAAGAGTGACAGGTTCACAAAAATGGCCAAGCCACACGAACTAGAAACAATGACTGGGTATAGCTGAAAAAGAACCAAGTCAAACC